CTACCGGTCATTTTCCTCATGGTATCCGTCAGGAGTGAGTCCGGTCCACATGCTACCTCAAAAAGCAAGGGCCGTTCATATCGGATGAGTTCCCCAAATGCAGCGAGGAGCTCCTCCATGGCCTGAAGGCTCAGTAGCTTGGTTTCTCGCTCACTGAGCACCACCTGAGGTGCAGGCAAGAGAGTTTCCAAGCCTTCGGAGAAAAACTGTTTGGAACCGTCTACTGATCCACTGGCATCTGGGAGGTTTTCTCCCAGTCGCTTGAGGTGGCGGCCGAGGGTTGCGTCCGGCGCGTCTCCCGATCCTCCTTCATGTCGGCCACCTCCTTGGTGAGCGCCTTCAAGGCTAAAGCCATTTCCATCATCTCTGAGGATGAATTGGACTTCTCTGCGTCCTTCTTCTTGACTGGGTAGCCCTTCTTCGGGTTCTTGGAATGCTCTGCTGTGGCTTCCGTCACTTGCTCCAGCTCCGTCATCTCCTCCAGCCACTTGGCCAAGCGATGAAGCTTCATGCTGCTCTCTGGGTCCTGCTTGGAGGTCTGCATCACCCAGCGAGCATAGCTGGGCTGTTCCATCCAGATCTCCTCGTACTTCTTGTCGCAATGCTTGCCGAACCCGACGAAGTCCGTGGGATGAGGAGCTGCCATCACATAGGCCTGGTTCAGGCCCTTCACCTTGAGCTGAGCAATGGTCTCGGTGCCCGTCAGGGTCATGCCCATGTTGACCGTCAGGTACTCCTGGAGGTTTGCCTTCCGAGCTGAAGCCTTGTTGATGGCCACTTCGAGAGTCCTCAATGGGCTGAGTTCCTTGCTCATGGCTCCAAGATCACCTCTCCCTCGAGCTCGCTGAGCCGATGAAGCAATTGTGCCCGAGTCCACTTGGTTGGAGCCACTTCCCCATGGTACTTCTGGAGACGCTCGCCAAGCTCCACACGGGTCATGCGGGACACCATGATCACCACAAGCTTCGGGAGAGAGGTCGTGCTTTCCAAAGAACGAAGCGGAAACGGCTGCGGATGTTTCATCAACTTCACTCAACGGTGGCCGATCGGTGACACCGAGCGCAGGTTTCACGACACCCTGAGATCGATGGTCCTCCGTGACCTGAGCGCGTGACGAAGTATCGGGTGGCTCTGAGCTCTGACACTGACTAGGGTCTGTACCAAAACTGTGATGTGCACAATCATGTGATGTATGCGACACACGTGGCATGGGTTCCGTTTTGAGGCCTTGGTTTCGTTCTCTCCCATGGAAGCCGGGCTGAAGAGTTTCATGTTGATCATAATCGGGGTTTGGTTCGCATCCCAACTGACTACCATGATCTACCATGACATGTCCATGAAAAACCATTCCTGCTGCTACGCTGTCCTTTCCACCCTGCGCAGGCGACGGGATGGAAAGGTCATATCCCTATTCGAGATCACTAAAGCACGGCAGCGGCGCTCGCAAGCTGCGGGCAGTCTCATAGGCATCCGTCGTGAGAGGCAGCACTTGGTGTCCAGCTGCCGTGCGCTCCAGGTGCACCACTTTGGTCGGATCCACTGCCCGGAAGACTGCGCGATCCGATGCGTAGTCGATCACGGCGCCTAAGCTTCTCAAGGAGCTGATTGACAGCAGCACTGGCGCTTGGCCTTTGTCCAAGGCGTGCACCTTGAGAGTGCCCATCTTGCCACCGAGCGGGACCAGTAATGATGCCGTTGAGGCGCACTGGTCCTTCGAGGAATTTCCAAACCCAAAAACTGGCCGGTCAGCAAGGTCCACTTGTTGCACCCCAGAGTCACCCCGGATGGATTCATTCAGATCTGCAACCCTGGAGAGGGCGGCAATGGAGCCAATGGTTTTCGTGGCTCCGCCGTCAATGACAGCTTTTCCCTGCAGCATCACATCCTGGGTAGAGATGGTGGCCTGGGACTCGCCCATGAGCGCCTCCCCCACCGTGTCGGTGAAGAAGACGAAAGGTGCCTGCTCCTGGGTGTTCACGTGGGCTGACTGGTCAGCAGGCTTCTCCCGACATTCGGCCACCTTGTGTGGGCCACCACATCGGAAACATTGCATCCGTGGAGGCGTTTTGCCAAGTCGCTTCCACAGGCTTTGAGGTTCATTGCCCTTGCCCTTCCCTTTGACGGGGTAGTACTGCCGTGCCATTCGGACGGCATGCTGTTTAGCTCTGGCCTCCCTCAGTGTCTGTCGAGCCTCCTGCATCACGGCGTAGGCTTCCACCATTTTCTCTTGCTCCACTTCCATGGACTGGATCTCCTCGGTGGTGAAGCCCTCTTCCATCAAGCCATTTGTATCCAGCTCGCTCCAGAAGACCTTGTCCTCCTCCGGGTCGTGGTCCTCAGTCATGTGGGCCATGTACTTGCCCTTCTCCATGTCGCGGCGCTTGACGTCCGCATCCGTCCAGTGTTTCCTCAACACTGTCTCCACGGCTCGGACACTGAAATCACCTTGTAGGTCAGCTTGGAGAACATTTCTTTCCATCACGTCCAAGCCGGAGTCCATGAAGAGGTACCAGCCTTGGATGAAATCTGGCAAAATCTCTGGGAGCTCATCACGACTGCATTCCAGGGTGTCGGACTGTTTCCAGGACTCAGTATGATGGCTCCTGGACTGGTGAGAGTGGGCTTCTTCCCACTCATCATGCGCATGCCATTGCGCCCAGGGATCATCCTCCTCCGTCGCAAGGTCGTACCCCTCATTCTCAAACTCATAGGACTGCTCCTGCAGAGGTTGACTGTTCCTAGCCTTCCAGGTTCTCTGAGGGCCAGCTATTGATGAATGCTGAGATCTTGGATCTGAGTTCACTGACTTTGGCTTCTTTGGATGTTCTCGTTGATACCGGGCCATTGACTGTTGTGCCCGGGTGTATGCCTCGGCTTTTCTCATCACGAAGTCATTCATGCCCTCGCCCCGCTGGCGTTTGGTGCCCTTGAAGTACTTCATCAACAGCTCGCTCATTTCAGGAACCTTGGATTGGCCCCTTTCAGCACGAAGAGCTGCCACTAATCGACGGACCCCTCCATCGAAGGACAGCCAGTCCGCTGACTTGCCAATCAGGATGCGCCTGGCTGATCCAGACAGTTCACTGGCAATTCGAGGCCCACAAAGGTATCGCTTCTCTTTGACCACGGTCTGCTCATACAGGAGACAGGCTTCGACGAACTCTTCGAAGGTGGAGCTGTCTCCCGACCACACCGGCACCCCATCGCGATTCTTGAGAATCGCCCCTTGGTTGCCACCTGAAGACTCAACACGGCCTGGCGGTGCTGAGTACCATGACATCATCATTCACCTTTCTCACACGAGCCCGCAGGCTCCGCTACCGTGCAGGTAGCAGCCACAAAAGCAGGCGGTCAGCCGGCGTCACTATTGCTCTAGTCAAAGATCTGGGGCCACCTAAGTCGAAAGACACCTAAAGGAAATCGGCAGGCTCTCGGCGTGCACGAAACAGGTGGCCGCTCGGCTCACGACCCTTTTGATCCCAAACTGCACGGTGATGGTGAATGAGCAATCTACTTAGGATGCGAAGAAACTTGCAGTTATTATTATATTGTCTAAGTTTAATAATAAACCATCACCCCAGCCGTCAAAGCGCTGAACCCTTTGCCCATCCATTCAAAAGTAACCCTTGGCCAGGTTTGGTGTGTTTCTAAATAGAAACTCCATCCATCCGCCATCCGCTTCGGAAAGAACCACCAAACACGCGTCGTTGACGACCAGGTAGACAGCCCTTCATCCCAGTCGACCCTCTCCAGGTCCAAGCCACCCAGCCCAGCGCACCATCACTGACTCACCGGACCGCCGTCCGTGGGCTCGGCTCGTGTCTCTTGGAGCCCCAAAATGGGCTGCAAAGGAACGTGAATGAGATGGTCATAGGATGTCATAGGAAGAAAACAGATGAAAAAAGGCTTTCCCCCCCCCAAGCCATTAAGGTTTTGATCTGATTTTTGTTGCTATGGGTGGCATAGCTCGTATACACATGGGAGACAGACCTTCTGGCGCGGCGGAACGACCCAGAACCCCCCTGCTTTGTGTGCGGAACATCGACGAAATACCCCGCCAAGGCTAGGGCTGAGGCCAGGGGCGTCTCAGGAGAGGAGAGGAGAGGAACTCTGATGAAATCTAACACCCCTCACCTGGCAGGTGGGGAAAAAAGCCAACACCCATGTGACATGGTCACCTGGTCACCAGGGCACGTGGCACGATGTAATCGGGACATCTGGGAGTTCACAACTTCAACCACCGAGTGGAGAAGTTGAGCTATTCGTCTTGGTATTTGTGGGATTTCGCTATAGAGCTGTCATTCATTGATCCAAGCTCAATCCCTCACCAAACGTCTTGGAGAGTGACCCCTACTAGTGTTCCGGGGTGAAGTGACCTGACACACATTCGATTTGGTGTGAGATCGTATGAGCCATCAAATGAACCGCGAAACAAAGAAGACACACGCCACCTGGGTCGAGGTCGACCGCGATGCCGCTGCGTCGAGGTCTCGAAGGCGTTGTTGGGGGCAGCAATGAAAACGGCGGAGAGGAAGCCTAGGGCGGAGCAAAGGGATTCTAAGATCTCTAGGAAAGAAATGTTTCACAATCGTCTCTCCTCATTTTTGGAGGCTATAATTAATCCATCCTTGTTCCAAGGGTTGCTCATACCATGGCGGAACAACTTGGCTCATCAAGTATAGATCTCAAGTGATATGATATTTTGTTGCTTCTTGTCACTGTCCAAAGCAGCCTACCCTGTCAGGTTCTTGTGGGTGCATTGCACTAAAACAGCAAACCAATCCAAACGGATAAGACGTTTCAGCCGAAACGTTGCGTCCTCGCCAATCTTTCGGATGTCTTCAAGAAGACATCACCACTTGGAGTCATGCATTGTGCATGTTCCTGACGTGCGTCCACTCTCCAAAACCAAGAAATACACGGGGAGGCCTACCTGTCCTTGGGCCGATTGGACCCCGGAGATCCGTTCTCCTGTGGCCATGACACCGTTCACTCCTCCGTCATGGGCGCAGATGTGACCAAGCACTACCTGGAGATCGCGTTCGTCCATCGAGAGACCCGGTTCTGAACGGCGCTCCGGAGCACGGAGCGCCGGAGCGATCGGACATGACGTTTCGAAGTGGCCGTATACTACTAGGAACAAAGGGTTCCTTGGCTTTTCACATCGTTTCGCTCGTTGGTCTCCGAGTTCAGGGAACGTTTAGGCAGCTAAGCGGGGACTCCAAGTGACTGAACACCGGGGAAGGTGGCCCAGGCCCAGCTCAGGCTGGTCTGGACTTTGAGCAAACGGACTCCAACCTTCTGGGCACTGACACTGCCAGGTCCGATACGATGCACCAAGCAAACCACAGCCTGTCTGCCACAGCCTGTCTTCCAATGTCAATGCCACAGCCAGTTCTCCATCCAAGCTGCTCAATAGGTCACTCTGGAGCACCTGCAATTGCTCCAGGTGGCACTGCAGCAGGTGACCCAAGTCGAATATCTCGCAGGTGCTCGCGAGCACCTCACGGGACATGGGACTCTTGTTGTTGTTCGCGATCAGCTCGGCGGATGTCGACAACTTCGTTCCGATCTCCGACATCCGGAAAGGGTGTTCGAAGCAGGGTGTGAAGCACCAAGGGCCAAATTCCCTTCAAACATGTACCTGAAGTCTTGAAACTATTTGGGCACCTCCATGTCCAAGTCCCGTCTCGTCTGAGCCTGATAGTAGTTGAAGCTGAGCCCCAGGGAGGAGCCATCCAAATGCTCTCTTGCCAAGATCGACTGCTCTGCCGCTTGGCACGCCGGTCGACGCCTCGACATGTTTGGCTCCCCGGAGGGAGGAAGGCTCGGCTCACGAGTCCAGTTGGTCTTGTTTTAGGGAGGTTGAAACGGCCCAAAGCTGAAATGGCTACATGCAAACATCCTTCCATTCGAGATGATTGGAGGTAAGAAGGATCAATCAAACAGTCTGCGAATCCGCAATCGGCGGTCAAGAAGTTTTTTGGCTGGATAAACATGTAACCGGACTTTTATGTCCTTTTCTGACATTAGTTTGCAATCATGAAGTTCGCTTCATGCTTGCTCCGCAACAACAAATATGCACATATGATCAAACTCATATAACTTATATATATAGGATGAACTTTATCGTAACGTAATGTACAACAAAAACATTCAGCTGTCCTGCTGTGCAATAATACCACGTCCAATTCACTTGCCTTGTGGAATCCTTTGAAAAAAAAAAAAAAAACACCAAATACCTCCAAACCGGGAGACCCCATCAAACAAACAGCAACCTACCAACCCTTAACAGCACGGGGGGGAAAAGGGCGCTAGGCTTGACCGCGTTCCACAACTCTGTCCCCCGCAACAGAAGCGATCAACTCATTGAAGCTGCTGGTGATCAGTACTGGTTCGGGATCCTTTCTGGTCGGATGACACCATAGCCTGTCTGGTGTTCCTCCACCCTGTCGGTGCATCGAAGCTGCTGATTCTCTATTTCCATCCTCTCACCGGAGCTCAGGTAGGATTGGTCCTGGGAGAGATCCAGGCCAGGGCGGTAAAGCAAGCGGCACGAGGAGCCTCAATGCGACAAGCTGCGTTTCTTACGCTGCGACAAGGGGGGCCGTCACAGTCGATGGTGGTAAACGAGGTGCCTCTACGACTCTACGTTGTATATACGTATAATATCACATCACACTATATGGCAGGCTCTCCCACCAATCATCCAAAATCTCGGACCCATCCCCACCCAAGATAGGAGAACACGGAAGAACATCGTCCGGTTGATTAGGTGGTGGACCTTGCAGGTGTTCTTTCAAACAAACACATCGATCGCACCAGAGAGTGTCTCACCAGTGGTCCCACAAGCTGCGAAGGGTCCCTGTTTGCACCGAATCCAACCATGAAAACTTGAGAACCTGGTTGGCCTATGGTTTTAGAGCGGATGCGGCATCACTAAACAGTCTATGATGTTGCAGGCTTTTGGCCATGAAATTCAAGAGAACTGCCCATGAAATCCCATGGAACTGATACACACGTGCCGGGTAACACCCCCGCATGCTGGACTCGGACACCATAAATTGGTTGAAGAAGATACAAAGTTTGACAGTATTATCATGTGACATATGTGTTTATGTTGTTTCAGTTTCATTGTTGCCCTCTGGCGCACATTCAAGCACCGCTCCATGCACCTTGGCGTGGCTTGTGTGCTCCCCTGAGATCCCACCTCCGCGCGTCGTCATGATCACACCAAGGAGCTTAAGAAGGGGTTGTTGTCAATGTGTTGGTTGAGCAGCAAAATGAGCCGCCACAAGCTCTCCTTCAAAACAACAACATGGACCGCTTACAGGGAGCTGGCAAGTTTGCCTCACTCCTGAGTCTGTGTCAGGGATGTGATCATGTGATCCTCCTGTACGGTAGATTTAGTTAAACAACCATACCTTTGGGATTCATCTTACAACCACCGCGCACTAGGAGAGGATGATCGCTGAACTGTCTCATAGTTCGGTAAAGCAGCATCAAGTGGCCCAAAAAGAATCCACTGCTGTCACGTTTGGCATTTGCCTGCTCTCGCAAGTAGGTCCAAGTGTCCTTTATTGAAAACTCAGTTAGGAAGGCACCTTGCGTTTCCAAAGAGATGATCACCGTGCAGCGAGATGATCGTCAACCCTGGCAGCCAGTCACATTCTATACGACCTGATGGGTACCTGATGTATTGCGGAGCCCAGGCCATTCCTGCTGAGTTCCAAAGAAACATCCGAAACTCGTTGCTAGGCAGCTGGGGAAACCAATTGAGAAAACCATCACGTGCGCGCCCGCTCCAGGCGTGGCTCGCCGGATGCGCGCCCGAACGAGCTACTTCGGAACTGGTTTCTCCAAGTCTCTTCGCAGAGCATCCAAGGAGACAAGCATTCCTTGGCTCATCTGAGTGCCAAAACCAAGCGCTACTAGTATAGCTTCTTGCTCCTAGTAGCGTCCGATCGCTCCTAGTAGCAAAAACCAACCCTGTTTGTTGCGTTCCTTTGCCACCAAGCTACAGTGTGTTGGTGTAAACCATGGCTGGCAACGGGCTCGCGTGCGTCAAACAGTTTCACATCTATTGTACATACCACCGACCTGGTCGGCCATGGGGGTACCTGTAGCAACTGTTGCTGGGTGGGAGAACATCCATAAGTTCGCAGCTCTTGCCGTCTCAGCAGCGAGCGGCATAGTCACTTATATAGACATAGGCACAACACCCCCTGAAACTCCATTGAACCAAATCGAGTCCTCTTGAAAGCTTTGTCCATTCAAAAACGGTGCGACACAAACATGTGCAAATCCAGCTCCCACCTTTTCATTTCTTCTCAGGTCCCCCCAGCAGCCCTTCCACAAGCAGATCCAGAATGATCTATATAGAGATACCAGGCGCACGTATGTGATCTGGCAACGCCCTGTCGACATCCATCCAAGTCCATCGCCCAGGTCTTCCCACGACTTCCACAACTGAGCGACCCAGGTCTTCTCCCAGCACTCCTTCCGCAGGTCCAGGAAGGTCGCCCCACTGCAGTGAGCAGCCAACATCTCATCGCAAAGCTCCAGACCCGGCACATCCATCGATCCCGCTTCGCCCCTAGGTGCACAGGTGAGGCCCAGTGAGGCCACGAATTGGAGACGGGGGGAAGTCCATGGAGACAGGCATGGAGACGGGCCTGGATTTTGAGGCGTCAGTGGGCATGTGAGTTGTAGGGTTTACCCGGTTTACTATGGTCATGCTAAAAATGATTGATGTGATTAGATTTTGACATCTCCTGCCCGCAGGTTTGGGATGCGCAGATGTCAACCTGGCGCCACTTGTCTTGGAAAGTTGAATGCCGAACCACGTATCGTCATGAACAACAAATCATGGTCCAGTTTGCACTGGCCTAGGTTATGGAACACGCGATGCCGATCGGCATGTGTCGTCATGTACCACCTTCTGGACCCTGCCCCTGCCCGCACCTTCTGGACCCACGGCCTGCATTTCTACTACACAAACACACCTCCCGGTTTGGTGGGTACGTTGTGCACCCAGTGACCCAGTGGCAACTAAGTCATCAAACATGGTTGGGCCAGCCTCTGACAATGAAAAAGGACTGAAAGCTACACATCCAGCACTTCATAATTGGGATGATTCTGCATCTGACTCACCTGGATGGTATAGATCTCAGCTCATCACCAAGCGGCCATACCCGGAAGTTAACGAAGATTCTATGGCACATGATGGCACGCACATGCAGCTTTCATTTTTTTTTCTACGGCCAGTGTACAGCTCGATTTCATCCAGTGTACAGCTCTGCAATGATGACGATCGCCCGAAACATCGAAAAGCAGCCGTGATGCCGATCAGTTCTGATCTCTCGCCCCTCAGTTCTTCAACTTGGGAAGAGGAATAATGCGCACACAATGAAAGAGTCTTATTTCAACTGGTCATTAGTCCGACGCGTCTATATATATATATCGATATGTCACATGTCCAAATAGAATCTGAGGGAAAGTGGGTGTTTTGTGACTCTTCGACTACACATCCTGTGTGAAGCAAAAGAACGAAATTGCTTCAATTACATAATTGGCCAACATGATACAATTGGGTCTTCAAAACTAAGCAACATGCAGCTCAGCAATTCTCCATTCAGCAGGTGTACTGGCTAGATCCAGCCCAGTGGGTCAACTTGCTCCAAAAAATGCCAGCCAAGGCAGCCACAAAGCCATAGCTTCCAGCAACCGTGATAGCAGCGGCCAGGCTGCTATCAGCACCGGCTCTGGCAGCCAGGAACCTTGACATAAAGCCAGGCGTCTGCAGAAGAACGAGCCATCGTCTCCCTCGTCTCCATCGGTTTGGAATTCGCATCCCGGGGTAGACAGCAGCAGCTCGGCTGGTCGGAAAACACAACATTGTGAAGAAAACATATTGCACCACTGCACCGACAGCTGTCATTGACAAACCTGCTGTGTGGGTTTGGCAACAAAACACCTTGGTAATGAACCTTTCCAGGTCCATGCCAAACTCATATGGCATCACTCACAGGTATATTCCAAACTCACATCCTTTCTTGCAAAAGCCAGCTGAGTGAAAATAGCCCAGCGGAGCCTGAGTATACAATTACGAAGCTCAAAATTCCTGAGCCCTTGCCAGCAACACCTTCACCCTTCTTCGTCCAACACCAGCTAAACCTGCCACAGTGCCGATGTGGCGGCAGTGACTCATTTAGCTGCTTGGCAGCTGCTGCACGCCCCGCGTTCAGCAATGACTCCAAACCATAACGTTTGGCCTATCCTATCAAAGGTGAGGCGGGCGGCAGCAGCTCCCTCGGATGCTGCGGCTGCAGCTGAAGTAAGTGTCCGCGCGAGCTCTACGGCTGGAGGCGACCAGCCCGCTTGCCTCATTGCTCACATAGCCAGGTCCGGGACGCCGCGCAGTACGTGTGGCCCATTGTGGCCCACATAGCGAGCCGCCAGCAGCAAGGCCAGGCGCCGGAGTTGCGAAGGAGAGAGGTTGAGCCAACTCAAACAGAGTTCAGAGTTCAGAAGCCAACTCAAGAAGGCAAAGTATGATGCCATGCAAGTCAACCCAGTGCAAAAGTTGCTCAAGTCATTTTTGTCAAGACTACCGCCAAGAACAATATGATCTATCATATTGTAACGAAGTGTCGCTCGATATCTGCGCACTATACCTTTTTTGCCCAACAAAACATCCAGCTCCCAGCCCATCTCTTTCCAGTGTGTATCCCTCAGATCCACACTCTAAACCGACTCCAAGGACAGGCACTCGGCACACCCTCCCTCACGCCAAGCTGCTGTGAGGTGTTGATGAAAAAGTCGTACAAACACATCTGCCACTGCGTATGGCCTCAGCAGTCCAGTCAGCTGTGGCAGCCACCAAAGTACTGTTGATGAGTGGCAAGTAAGGATCATCATGTGAAAATAGTACACTCCACTCGTCCACTTGGGTTGATAGGTGTAGGGATTTCAACCAAGTACCTGATTCTTCAGTGTAAACACTGCGAAGAAAACAAAGACATGGAAAGTGGACGGAAAACCACCTGTTTGGGATTCTGGGAAATCATTGGGTCGTCCCACTTGGAGGAGTGGCGTTCACCAGTTCTGCACCGTCTGAGTCTGGGACGGCTGTTGGGCATCATCCTGTCCTGACCGATCCTGGGCGGGACCAGTTGAAGTCTATTCAGTGAGCATTCACCGTTTCTTTGGATGTTCAGATTCAATTTCCCCGAAATAGCGTGTCAAGACGCCGGCCGCCGACCCATCCACCAAAAAAAATGACACATGTTTCTTGCTTTGTAGCAAGCAAGCACAACATAGCACAACCCGACTGTCAAATGCATCAGCCATTTCCCGGGTTGGTCGCCAGTCACGCAGTCACGCAGTATGGGGAGATCCCCAATCCCCCCCAAAACTTGTGTCTTTTGAATCTTTTGAACAATGTTGTGTTCACCAGACATGAACACAAGTGAACACATCTCTATATCTCTTCAGCTCGGGGAGATGATGCTCATTGTTGAGAAGCCCCAAATGCTTCCAGTGTTCGGTGTTCGGTCCCCTCCGCCACCGACCCACACGAACTCATGCCGTTTCTTCGTGGGTCGTCGGATTTGGCCGCGGAAACAGCGGCAAAGAGAGTGGCGCAAAAGGAGTGGCATAGCTTCTTGAGTGATGCTTTGGCATGCTTTGGCCCTTTCAGAAATCCTTCTAAAACTTGGAGTGGCACCCGGAGCAACACTAGAGTCCATTACAATCATGACCAAAGCCCTCTCTCTTACTGCTCCATCTTGCTGGGCTCACAAGCTAGTGATACCACAAAATCACTCCACTAAACAACAGCTGGGGGTGTTTGTGGTTCCTAGATCTGATTGAATATCAATGTTTGTGCACTCTCCAAAACGAAGAGTTACTGTCCATGCAAAGATCTCCTGCACCACCCAGCATTGAATCATGGGGGTCTGGTATGTTTGCATGGTCTGCTGCATCTTCGGATTTTGCAAAACTGCTTGCCGCCGTGCTCGGGGAATATCTCCAACTCAAGGTAGAACATTCCACCAACCACAGGAGCCCCTAGTAGCTTCTTGCTCCTAGTAGCAAGGCCAGGAGCCCCTAGTAGCGTCCTTGCTCCTAGTAGCGATGCCAGGAGCCCCCAGTAGCTTCTTGCTCCTATTTGAGATAATATGGTTGTTCGGTGGTTGATCAATATTCTTTCATGATGGAATGGCATTTTGCGAAGACAAACAACAAACTCACACATGTGCCAAGATGTTCACTGTTTGGAGAAGGACCAACTGACCAACACCTCTGACACGAGCAATCCACTCTGAGGCTCTGGTTGTGATCTGCAAAGTGTCGTTTGGTCTTCAAAGAGTTCCAATGCTTCATGACCTCCACAAGGACACCCGAACACTCGGCTTCTTCAAACAAAAACTGATAGAACAAGGAAGAAAAGGCAGGCACTTGTGTTTCGATCATTTGGAAGTCCCATGAAGTCCCCTGCTTTTGGAAGTCCGGGGAAAAGGAAAACAAAGAGAAAAGCCTTTTGCCTCGCCCGACGACTCGGACGACCCGTTTGACAACCACAGGTCGAACGTCGAACGGCGCGATCCAATCAGACGCGAACCCAACAAGGAAACAAACGTTTGCAACGAGCAAGCTGGAGTGAGGTTCGTTTGGGCCAATGGAGAGAGACAAGGACTGAACCAATCACACTTCGGAAGAAGCCAAAGAACTGGTGCATGTCTGCACTATTCTTTGGACATGAGCTGCTTGTAGCTGATGTAGCTGATTCCTTTCAGCTGATGTAGCTGATTCTTCACCAACGGGGCTTGATCAGTTTACCCCAGCAGCACCTTGAAACCATGAGGATGATCCAAACATGGAGTGGAATGGCCCAGTGCTGACAGCAGCTCACGCACGCTCTCCTGAGGCCAATTTTGCCAGGGGAGACAGGTCGTGATTGGAGTTGACAGCCGGAAGCGCCGTTGGAAACAAAAGGAAGAGTATACATGAATCATCATGAATACATGTTCATGCACTGATAAGAGGTTTATATAGCCAACATAGAGGTGCATTTAAAAAAGCACGCTAAGGCCTCTAAGATGTGTGCTTCTGCGGTGAAAACAAAGGCAAAAGGCACTACAGCATGGATGAACGGGGATGAGTTGCATCACTTAGGAATCCGTGACGTGCCTCAATCATCAATCCCGGAAGGAATAGGTTTCCCGGTTTCCAAGGACTAGAGCAAAGGCGAGCAAAGGCGTATGGCTGGAAGTTCATCAAGGAAGATTCTAAATCAGTGGCTCAAAACTCACCCGTGAAAATGGTGATGGACAAAAAAAAGACAGAAGGTCAAGATCAAAATACTAAACTACCAGCATTTGCTTGAATGGATTGGGTAAAACGATGTAAAAAGGCAACCAATCAGGATATACCAAACTTGGTTTACCAAACAGGATATGGGAATTCGACTGACCCACCATTGGAATCAACATGTTGGGTTGACATCGGGCGCCACCAACGATGGTTGCGATACGATGGCCCGAGCAGCCGTGCTGGCGAGGTCGTGGCGGCGCAGAAGCTCCACGTGATACCGGCTCAAAGGGAAGCTCTGAAACAAATGCTCACCTCGGAGGTAGTGAAACACCTCCAGAAAGCTGATGACAAATACACCTAAAGTGCATAGTAATTTGCATATTATATGTTACAAATAAGCATCACATATTGCCCATACATACAAAGGTGAATGTCCTTTCTCTGCTACATGCATGAATGTAATACTTTAAACATGCATATTAAACATGCATATTATACGAAACCTGCGGTGTTTACACTGGAAACAAATACTTATCATGAACATATATTGTAGCAAAGCAATGTAAACTTATATGTTCAAAATATACGCTGATCTGTGTGCAAGGTAAATATACTCGTTCCTCTGTATAATATATTTATATATACATATAAGTGTTGGGAATCGAGAGAATATGAGACAATGATAGCTTATAACAGCTGGAACATCCTAAAACCTAATCCTGAAGGAAGTTATCTTCACAAAAACATCCCCCGCCCCCGTCCGCACGGGAAAAACCTTGAGACTTCTGTCCTGGTGAACTTGTGGAGGTTCGCAATATGACAAATAAATTGGATGTGTATCAAAAAAGCTCCCGTGGATGCAGTTTTCACACTGCTACTTTGCTGGCAAAAGTGGCCCAGTTTGGCGGTGATGTGATAGGACCGCAAATGGTCCAACGTGACGGCGCCTGCCAAAACACTCAGAACAGGTCTTTTTCTGCGTCTCGTTCTGACTCTTGGTCGAATGAATGGATTTTGATTGTGTATTTCAAGTTGTTTCTTGAGTTTGCTCTGCAGCCATCATCAGCCAGCCAAAACAAACAGTCAACCAAGAAACACCTGAACAGGTCCCTCTTGGACTGAGACCATCTCGAACATTGATGAATGATGGAACCTGAACATGAAGAAGATTGATGAACATGATCGCACGGTCATGCAAATGATTAAAAAACAACGGATGCTGACAATCAACTGAAGTATCAATTAGGATGCAGCTGCTGATGATGATTAAGAAGAAAACGAAGGAACAACTTATGATTGATGAAGACAAACAAAGAATATGATGATGCTGATGATGAACCCAAGACTGCTCAGGGGTCACCCTCCTCAACCTGCCCATGCAACGCGACCCAAACCGCCTCCCATGACATCGCGCTCTTCCGGGTCCACTTCGAAGGCAGGACGCCGGAAGAGCCAGCGGTAGGTGCCATCTGCACCGGCGCCGGTCTGCCAGAAGAGGTTGTTGAACCTGGGACGCTCGGCACACGCGGCGAGACACGCTGCGATGAGAAGCACCAGTCGTTCGAAGCGGCGGAGGTGGGTCGTTGCGATCGTGGATCTCGGGGTGTCGGTCTCCAGTCTAAGTCTACACCCACATGTGTTTGGGTCCGCCAAAAAGCTGGTTGAGTGCCCTTGGAAGCGGAGGGCACTCAATTTTTGGATGGGAGTTTTCTTCCGCTTGAAAGCCATGGTTTCGAAATACCAGCTTGAGATGTTTTGTGCGTCTCGTACGCTTAGTACCCTGCCGCAAACTAACATGGTTACGTGGATGGCATGGCCTCTTGGAGGACCCTTTTCCTCTACAGACCTAGTGCTTTTGAGAGTCCATGTTAATCTGCAAGAGGGTAGTATTGTGCACTTCTCCCAGTAGCGACGGCACCCACCTGAGACTGAATGGAAAAACATAATCCTCGCATTGGTCGATCGAGGTTGCTTCGCGGAGATTTGTTGGTGAAAGAACAGTGTAGAACGCCTGACTGGCTGAGGTTTGAGTTTGAAACACAGGACATTCCTCCGCAAGATAGGCTTTCCGTGCTCAAATTGCACATCGAGTCCCGGTATGCCCCGGAGGAGAGGTCAATAGTGACCAGAACAAGTCTAAGTGGCGAAACAAGTTACAGTTAAGAGTGTGCGCATGTGTCCTGATATAATCTGATTATGCTTTAACTGGCCTGCGGTTTCAGGTCAAGTCTGCTTGCACTGACACTATACATCCTTGATTGCTTACTTTGCTCAAGAGATGATTGTCGTTGGTACTGCGGGAAAACACTAAATGCTTATAACTTGTGACCATCCACAAGGTGTCTGTTGCACCACTATAACATTTGGTTAGAAATGGTGAGAAAGACACGACCGCGACGACAACAACAACTACTACTATTATAATGCAATCAAATAAACATACAAACACTGACATCAAGACTTTCTGAAGTCCGGTGAACAGGATGTTGATGTGCGCAGCACTTCGATCATGGAGCGAATGCAGCTGATAGGGATGTGCACCTGACACCGGGATCTGTCGATCTGTCAGGGTGCACCGTCGTCCGCACAGCGAGGGAACCGCCGAGATCCGTCGAACACGGTTGTGGCCACATCTACTCAGCTACTCTTGTGAGGCGAATTCCCTCAAGCTTCCACAACAGTGGAAACAGTTTCAGCATGTTTCAGCTGGAATCAGGCTTATGTTCATGAAGAGGATGGACAGTGCGTCATGGTGTGCATATTCATTTGGGATGACTTGGCTATCTGAGACATCAACTAACCACAATAAAAGTGAAGTGGCGCAATTTGCTCATGGGTCGTTGCCGCGCTTAAAGAAGATTCTGCCTGATTTGGCTCATGACCCGTGTGCGCTCAAATGTCGCTCCCTGCAAAAGAAACATGGTGCCAAAGTCCACTGAGGCCACATCATAGAGAAACGGCCTATCCTGGAACTGGAACGACTGGTGTTCCACTTCCAGTGTTCAACAAGAGAAAAACATCGATGACCGCAGTTCCCCTATCGTGGAATGCAGGGTATCAACAACTGCCAGTATCATGCCACTTCCCAACTCCTTTGGATGATTCACTGAGCATGCTGGTGTGGAAAATCCTTACCCAACAGGGCTCCCTATGTCATTCTCGAAAATGCATTGCCTCTTCAGAGGAAGAGTCGTGCCGGAGAAGTACTATACTTTGGCAAGCAAATTGCAACCATGGAGAGAAGAATCTGATCTGGCTTTCCTCACACATCCACTTAAATTCTTGATGCGGCACCCACCCGAGATATTCCAGCTTCGCTCACTTCGCACAGTTCTCAGCTTCGTGGGCCAGGGCACATCTCCAAACGACGCCCATGGCAGTGGACCACGTGAAGGTCTCGTAGGCGACCGAGGCCTCCGCCGTGACGTTCTGATCCTTGGGATCAATCCAAGCGATCTGCATCTCCGCAAAGGGAAGTTCCGCCTGCATCTCCAAACGACGCCCATGGACGTCCCAGGTGCGTCAGTGGCAGGGAAGGATGATAGGATGATAGGATGATAGGGAGTCATCTGCCAAGTGAAGGTTTGGCCTGATCGAAAGAACTTAGGATGTTGTTTGACATGTTTTGACATTAGTTTGACCTGATCAACATCCAACTATCTAAGGGAAACACTATCATCACTATCACTAGGATAATTGAGAACACTGAGTACTACCAGCAGGTGCTCTGCACTATCGGCGGACAACATGAAGTCCTGTTCTGAATCAGTAGTTTCCAGCCTAGGCAATCTGACATCCAAGAGTAGTCCTTCGTTCTCTTTTTCCGGTCGTGCTTTCATGCCGCACCAAATTGTCACGTCTTCACCCCACTCGACTCGGGTGTTCCAACGCGTTGTCCGGTGTTCCAACGACAAAGGCGCCCTCCTGCAGGCGTTCTTGAGGGCTTTTCTCGAAGAAGGCCGGCGAAGGCTGAACGGAGCGATTGCTATGGAACCTGAGGATCCATCTACCTGGGAGCGGAGCCACCGACGTCAGGGATCTCATGAACACAGGTGAAGTGGGATGAAAGCGAAACCATCGAGCTGCATGGAATGACATGGACCTAAGGCGCCAGGTATTTCCTTGCTTTTGAGGAGTCGGCCTAGTGGCATGTGCATGATCGTTGAGGTGTCTTATGATCGGTTGCCCTCCGACCAATGCCACCAACAAATCCCAGATTCTTATATATTATATTAACGTGATATAGCTTAACCAAGTCCCTGTGCATGCTGGCCAGTTGACAAGTGCTCTCTGCCCTGCTGCAACTGTTGCAGCTGCTGTCAATCCAGGTCACAACAGTTTTAGAACAAGAGTTTACAACTTGACCCAAACAGCACAAGTATTTGCCACATATTTGCCACACACCATGCAGTATATGGAATCTGCTTGGACAACATGAAACGATCTACTGCATCTCCATGCAGCAGACCCAGTTGCAGCCCTCAAAAGGGCACTTCTTAGCTCTTTTCGGGTGCACACCTTGTGGGATCGGGTAGAACTTCAAAAAAAACACAAATTCCATCCATCTTCCTATCACGCCGAAGTCATTGGACCAAAACCCTGGGAACTTGGGGCGGCTTCACTTTCCAAGTCTACCTTTTGAACTTTTGTTTGCTTAGTTTTTTTTGGGGGGCTTTGGCTTCCGCGGCATCTGGTTGTTCTACCAATTTGCGCCAAGATGGGCTGGATCGGGACCTCCAGCGCAGTAGGGCCACAGGAGGATCGCCCTGAAGAGCGAAAAGGACACGTTTTCGGATCCTGTCTGGTCCCCCCAAATAATCCAACGGGAGCCTGTTTGGGAATGGTGCCTGTCAGGAGAAACGGAAGAAATTTGCTCGGCCTGTCTGAGTCGGAGTCTGTCTGGGTCAAGATCGGATGCAATCCAACTTGCAAGCTCTGTCGATCTGGAACCACACTCAAATATTTGTTGGCTTACGTTCGACCAAACTGGCCCTTTCATGTTGTTCATTTTTTGCTCAGATGTCTTCAGTTCTTAGTCTTAGTTGATTTTTTATGCTTCGTGCTTTTGTGCTTGATGTCTTGCATGGATCTCATGAAAGTGCCTCACATGAAGTGACATGGAAAGGATTTCCAAGACCAGTTGCCATGCCCAGTTACGCCTTCACTGCTATGGCACGTTACCTGTTGTTCTCAAGATCCTATGTTTGCATGTCTTACATACCCCCACGAGTTGCATTGAAGACAAAGGAATACTCCAAGGCCAAAACGTTGGATTCTGATCTCATCTTACCCCATGATCATACTTGAACATATATTTAAAAAAAAAAAATACGATTGTGATGCTGGTACTACCTCATGGTCAATACAGTATGCAATATCAAAACAAGGAAGAACTGCAATAGTCAAACACCGTGTTTTTGTTTACAAAAAACAAACTACATGATGCACCCAACCCCCTAAAACAGAAACAAACACAAACTGTTTTTTTCAAAGCAGTTGAACTAGTACAGAAATTACTTTGACTAAAGTTGTTTCATGTTGTGTCCTTCTCTTCAATGTGAATCTCTTGGATCTTGACCCACCCATCCCCGCCGCCCGCTCCTCCGGCGGAGCGGATGCCGGACTTGTGGGGTATGCGAGGCCTCCCACGCCGTCCTGGCGGGAACCACGCCGCGCCGAGGGAAGGCGCAAATGTCACGGCGTTTGGAAGGCTTTTAACGGTTATCATCCAGAAGCCAAGCGTCAAAGCGGTGGAATCTGAGGGCTTTCGTATGAGGTCATGTTTGGATAAAGAAGTTGTGTGTGGTCAGTCTGATATTTCACTGTGAAGACCCTTAAGGTAAAGGACAATTACAGTCAAGCTACTGGGCAGCCCAAACAATCCCAAACACCTCGACGTATTCCACGCCGAGCACCCAAAGGTTGGAGTCCCACGTCCTTCCTCACACAGCAGTAGCTCGCATTACCTGCTAGCATTCTCATCGCCGTTCTATGTTCCCTTTCTATTTTGAGTGTAGGCACGGCTAGCATTCTCTCCTTCGTGTAGGCGGAGACGAAGAATCGGTGGAGGTTGCTGAAGACTCCCTGGTCGAGGCCGCTGAGTTGGCCGTGCCGAGTCGAGGCCAGTCCAGTCGTCCGCACCACACTGGGCATCTCTGGTGAGCGCCGAACTGGGCAACCAGCAACGATCAAGAAGTATTCGCATGAGTAGCAGTTACCCGTTACCCAAAGTGAAGGGCACAAATCATAGGGACTCCGAATCTCCTTCCAACAACCACCTTGTGAAAGAGGGAAGGTGTCAAAAGGTTCTTGCTACTGTTGCAAAGTCCTGGGAATTAACTCGCGTTTGCTCATTACACAAAATGAATAATTAATTCATAGACAGCATTGCAAACTCTCGTTGAACTTGTGTCAAACATGTCGAACGCATGACCCCCAACAAAACTGCGCGAGTCCGCTCTTGCTTCCCCCTTAGATCTTGCACATCTCAGACCATCCAACTTCAATACCATACCAGTTCACATCCTCCCGCCGCGGCCCCATCGATGTCCGCTGCCCGGGATCCATCGATGTCCGCCGCGGCGCCTGCGTCACCCGTGCGCGGAGCTCCGGCAGGTCGCGCGCGCGGAAGATCCAGGGCGGCTGATCCATGAAGTCGGCCACCGGGACGGTCGAGCGAAACATGGCCTCCTGCGGTTTGCCCAAAAAAACAGCACCAACGCATGAAGGGAAGGATGCCCAGGTAGGGCGAAACGGACAGGAAACTGAAGAAAAGAAGCCTGTTTTGGGCAGGGCGAAGAACTGGGTTGACGCATCCCGCGTGTTGGCGTCCCATGGAAGAAACAAATCAACCGCCTGTCACCGTCCCCAAACACATGCCATCGCCAATCACGTCGCCTCCGTGATGCTACCTTCTGCTCGCCGGCCCCAGACCTTGGGCAGGGTGTTGAGCTCCGCGGTGAGCTCCGCGGTGCGGGCGATGAGTAAGACTCTTGCACGTTCTCAATACGTGAAAGAAGACAAAATGCAACTGGGTAAAGAATCTCTGGACTTTTCACATCGACTGGTGTGCCAAGAAAGAAAGAACTTGGAGTAGCTTGGAATTCCTTGATGTCCAAGACAAGACCTTTTAAATCAATGGCAAGGCCATCGAGTATCCACCCATCACGTTCCCAATGTGCACCGCGCGGCTCCATGCACACGTGGCACCGGTCCGCGCGCGGTCGAGCTGTTGTCGAAGAAGGGCCGGTCGAAGAGGAGCACCGGATGGATGAAGGTCGTGAAGGCCATGTCAGCATCCGCCAAGAGGAGGTAGAGATCCTGACATCGATGACAACATGATCCCCCCAAAATGGTTTGGCAAAGGGATCAGGGAGGGATCATGATCTGATATATCTAGATGGATACACAAAAAGACATTAGACACCTTGTTTGATAAACCGGATCTTGGGATGTAAAGTTGGAATCTGACATCCATTAGGCTTGACCCAAGTAATTCCCCCTTCCAGGAGCTTCCTCGAAGGTCAAGCCGCGAAACTTGGAACTCTATTGATACATCCCAGTGAAGCAAACACAGAACTGCTGAGCTGTGTTTCAGGGATGCTCACCTATCCATTCTGAACCAGTTGCTACACGTGATCTCTCTGTAACAAACACTTTTGATCACTATTGATTTCTCTCACAAAGCTTCCCAACCAGTGTCCACACAACCATTCCTCACAGTGTGACGAGACATCACGAGACATCACGAGACATCACTGGCGACCGCACCGGCGAAATCGTCCACCTTCAGGTCTGGAACCTGCAACATCTCCAGAAGAAGTGGCCGCTTCTCATAGATCCGCAAGTCCTAAGAGCATCCCCATTGTATTGATGGAGTTGAAGGTACACAGAATAGGTATGGGTAATACCTTATCATATATACTATACAGTTCCTTCAACTGGTTCTTCCTGCGAAACTGCCAATGCTGACTGGGTGACTGCTTCCAAGTAGGAGTGAGCTTGTTGGATGTAGCCGTAATTGGATGGCCGATCCTCAGATGGGTGTAAGGCCAGTTCCGACACGCCAAAGCCATTGGAGGTGAACAAGCAATCAGGAATGGTGCCCGTGATAGACTGACTGTGTTGGTGACTTGTGGGTGGTATCAAGGAGGTGTATATCGAGTGTACATCATGCTCAAGTTGTACGTACTTACCTGACCCCAAAAACATTAAGGTTTACTATTTGGCTGCTGCACAACATACGGACCTGGTAGAAACAAACGGACCTGGTAGAGCCCGGTAGAAGTGGAACATCTCTTGGTGAGGAAACCCTTGAACCCACTAGGAGTCACACCTTGTCCTATTGTTTCCCGCGCAAACGACTCAAGCAGGTCCCAGCATCTATAGCGCCTCTCTTCTTGGTATCACACACCACGTTGCCCGGTGGCTTCTCTTCGTAGAGGTCTAGCCAGGTCCTTGTTCCAAAGGTGTTTGCGAAAACTCAGTTGGACGCCGCGACCACGGATGAACATAGAAGAAAGGGACCTCGAGTCTTGGCCCAGGAATTGCAAACACTTTGTTCCAGCACTGAACAACATATCTGAAGTGTACATTTACTTTAACCCAAACTATGTTGGAAGAGAACAATGCTGGCCAAGCCTGTGACCAAAGTGCTTGTGTACCCACACAACATACTAACAGCCACAACCAAAGTAATACATTTACATATATATATATATACTGTATATGCTTTGGCTGGGCCTCAGGAGGTATGGATAAGCAAGCCAATGGATCAAAGTAGTTTAAGTTGTTGGTCCTAAGATCACTGACAGCCTATTGCCCTGAGGCACATGAATCAATGTCAATACCTTATCTGCATGTTCCAGCCACGAAGCCACGAACGACGAATTCACAACCATCTCTCTGCCCGAAAAGAAACTGATAGCTTATTGATTCATTGAAGGCAGAATTGGCAGGTCAAAATATAGGTTCTCTCTGATCACTAGTTAGTTCACCTCTCCAAATTTGCGTGAACTGAATGGTCTAAACCCTGCAAGTGAAGACAGAAGTATGGATGTCAAAGCCATTGACACCAGTTGCTTTGACATGTGCATGGGACTCTCACCACAGGATTCGTCCTCTGCCACAGCATGAACAGTTTAGCTGAAGAAGTTCTCTGCTGCTACTTGACTACTACTGCTACTACAACTGAAAAGAAACTGTGGTTTACAATCAACCCTGTCATCTGTCCGGTGTGTATGAACGTATGACCTCCACCTGGGCATTCGTTCTTCCCCAAGTTCGAGAGGCTTAGACCAGTCCACTCCAACGGGTCAAGGGGTCTAAACATCAGATGGCCCATGGCCGCCCATGGCCTATGTCCCTTTAACCCTTCTCTCGCTCCTGTGTGCGCCATCTTTCCTGGTCAGCCGCCCATCCCATCGCTGGTGGAGCCGCAGGGCAGCGGCACGGTCCGCCTCGCTGGAGTCCCAAAGCAACACCAAGGCGCTGCGCCAAAACCTGGCAGGTCAGCCCGGGGTCACAGAGCTCCGAAGGCGAATTGAGCTCTGAAGGGATGAACAAGAATATGATGGCAAAGAACGACCCCATGGGACTGGAAAAGAAAACAAAGCTGATCAAGTGACCCCGGAAATCCACATAACATAACATAACCATATATACCAAAGACATTCAAAGACCTCAACTGATTGGTCAAGATTCCATGGAGTGTCAGGCATCGATACCTAGACATGGGTCCACCTATCGCGCCCTTGCTGTGAAGCGTTTTTCCCGGGGGACCGGACGAGCGCCTCTTGAACTTGGACTCATTCAAGCTGGAAGAATTGCCAAATGACTTTCCTTTTGGATTCATTTTTTTTCTCATCTCACTATAGGGAGGATCACCTTTTTTCACTACCTGTGCTCGACCTCAGACCGGTGGAAGCTACAGGTGGACCTCAGACCGGTTACCTCCGTGCACCGCAAGGAGCTCTCTGCGAGGCCAGAAGCGATAAAAGCTCGGAAGGAAAATCTCATCCAGGTCGGTGAAGGATCCTCGAAGTCGTCTTCTTCGCTTTGGACCGAAAGCGGAGCCATCGAGGGAAACCAAAAACATGGGCGGCTTGTAAACACAAAACACAGTAAAACATCATGAAACTAACATGGGCGGCTTCAGCTGTGAGAAGTGAAAACACGGGTTTTTTCTTATGTTTATTGTTCTTCTTACTCTGCTTTGTCTTCTTCTTCTTTTGGTGCAGCTTGAGTGGTGTTATTATTGGGATGATGAAAACGGGGGGTAGCGTTGGAAAGTGCTTCAACTTGACGTGGGTTCAAGAGCACGGATGCTCGCAAGATCAATCAAACTCTGCCCATGGCAACAAAGCGACAACATCCAAAACAGGGAATCCATCCTTATGTATTTCGTCTATGCATGCAGTGTCAGTGGATGGGATGGGTATCGATTGGTGAACGTGTTCAGATGTCTACGTATGGTCATTTCTTGCATTATCACTCACCTGTGGTGGTCATTAAACAACGCGTCCCACAGGAATAGGCAGGGACATGACCAACAGCTCTATATTGTCCCACCAAGCAGAAAAAACAACATCTATATAGAATCTAGAGTAGCATTGCCTTGCTGTGCCACTCTTCCCCCCCCAAAAAAAGAAAACAAACAGCCAAAGAGAACCTCCGTCTTTTGATGATTACTCGAAAACAATTTACTCTTCCGTATCAGCCGCAGGGGCCATGGAAGACGCGCAGGAAGATCACCAATTTCGGCCATCTTTGTGGCGCTGCCATGCCATGTTTGCACCCGCGGGAACCGAAAAAGAGGCAAACCGCAGGTACTGAGCCGACCGACTACCGCACCCGGCCATGCATGACTGTGCTTCATGCTTGCCCGCTAGACCAGGTTTGGCCACCTGTCTTCACAGTCACAATCATTCTACTTCACAATTCATAATCATCTGGAGGGGGATGGCCGGGAAAATCAAGGACACTTAGGAACCCCCTTGTGCAGCCTCTGTGATAATGTCTTCCGTGAATCAAACCAATGTTGAAATTGCCAACCACAAGATTATAGGTTCAACATCGAAGATCATGGCACAAAGAAACATGTTGAGACCAATCGCTATGTCTCACTATCTCCACCGTCAATATGTCGCCATGTGCGAAGATGGCATTTTTGAGGCCGACTTTGGGCCCAAAGACAGCTGCGAAAAGAAAGGCGTCCATGAGTCGGTCACTCCCTTGCTCCGCTGCCCTCGCACTGAAAACGTGTCGAAACGGCCGGCGGGACCTTCTCTAATGTGCTAATTAGGCGGGACCCTCACCTAATGTGGACTTTAATGTATAGGTTACATGTTCAAAACAAACCATGTTGATGCAGCTCAACAACTGGGACAAAAAACAAAGTGCATTGATGATGGTCTGCGTTTGTCATGAGGAACCAATCTTTCGAAAGGGGTCATGGTGAAAAGAATAGGCATACATTTCAAGTGGGGCCGTGCCAAATCTAGGTGAACAGCTCGGATTTGCTTAAGGAACATGGAACAAATAGAACATGTCCTCAGAAGGGGATGTGCCCAAATAAAATCAACATTAAAAAGAAACACCTGAAACAACACCAGGACAACAAGTTGGCAGTTGGCTGTTTAAAAGATCTACAGTAAAGGTCGGAACACCAAATCCATCATGGTGTTTCCTCTCCCAGCACGGAGTTTTCAGCCGGAGAACACAACAGAACAATAGAAACATGTCGTCAACAAGAGTTTTCTTTTTTTAGACGGAAGTCAACATGTCTTGAACATAGCAACCAATGCCAAGAGAGCCACAAGAATGAATTCTTACCCAAAAAGAGTTGATGGTCAGCATGCAGGGTTGCAGTACTCTACCTCAAGGCCTTGTGGAAACTAGCCGTATAGCAGGTTCATGCAGGTTTCATCTCCTGTGGATTTTTCCATGTAGTTGCTGGCCTCACAACCCGCGCTCGGACGTAGCTGGCACCGATGGCCTCAGATCTAGTGAGGCACTACTGACAGAATGAGTAAAGTCCGTTGGTACGAAAGAATTCCAACATCTTGGATGTTTTTGCATCTATATACATGTTCTATCCACTTTAAGACCGCTACAGTATTATAAGATATTGTCTGCCCATCTAACTCGGACATGGAGACTGGTTTTGTGTCGCGTTGGCTTCTTGATATGCAGCCATGGTGAGAACAAAACAAAGCAGGATCACACATGTGCTTTATTTGAATTGTATCTCCATCAGTCACAGTGGAGAGGTATGTATGGGGTTCAACAAAATTAAATACTATCATTCAGTGGAGTGATAAACAATACAACAAACAAACATAACGACCACCAAAAAGAACGCCTACAAGACTCAAAAACAAAGCGCACCAGAACACACACAACAAAAAGTCTGTAGGTGCATGTTGTCTGGTCAGCGCTTGAAATCGGATTCCACTTTTGGGGCACTGGTGCAAAACATGGTCACTACAGCGGGGTCTTAGGAGTCTTCACCATGGAAAGCAAAAAAAATGGACACGGTCTTGCTAGGACGGGTGGATGTGCGTGGAAACAAACAAATAAAACCTGTACCTTAGTAGTCTGCACTTCCAAAAACAACTGCACAGTCTACTATTAGAGTCTACTTCCCGAAATGAGCAGCATTGAAATGACAACAACACCGCTTGAAGACGGTGACAGTCTTCAAATGGGATTCGGATTGTGCTGAAGGAACCGTCATTATCCAACGTCTCACACATCTCACAACTTATTTGATTCCCTTCACCCCCATTCCAGGCAGCCTGGCCCTCAGCCCATGCTGCGCAAGTGGCAATAGGCCACAATCGCCTTTTGAAGCTCACAATGTCTCAAGGGCTCATCAAATGCGGCGATTGCCATTGGAGTGGCCCTGATAGAAGAATCCATCAATAATTCATTCCTATATAGTCCTAGTCTCATCACTTCAATGGTGGAATCGTTTTACGTATATGTGCCATTCCATCATTGTCATAACAAGGCTGTGATATCAAAATTGGCTGCTCCTTCTCCTCCTTGATATCAGTCAAACGGATCACAAAAATCAATGCATTTAAACCTTGATGGACTCCCTGACCCAGTGACGTCGGCTTCCTGCTTTGTTTGTCGGCCAGCACATCCACAAATAAAGCCTTCTGACAGGCGATCAGCCACATGGCCGGATGAACATCTGTTTCATATTGTTTTTTTGGGGGATCACTCCAATACAATTGTTTGGACGGGTTCATCTGTTTTAATGTTTATGTCCCAAGCATGCTCAAAGAACGCTGGGGTGAATCTCTAAGTCGGAATCATTCCGTGCCTGGCATGACGCGCTGCACGAAGACGATGTCTTTTCCTCTTTCGTACCGACACTTGCATACGATTCAACTTGCATAGGACTTTGTCAGCTTTGGCCGACTCATTTTTGCCAGAGATCAAGAAACTCAGCACATGATAAACCGTCAATGAAGAGAATGTGCATTCTATTGACAAAAACATAACCAGAAGGGTCAGGTTATCTAAAGTAGCTGGTAGTCTTGAAAACAAGGAGTCAGTAGTCTGGATCTTTCAGGGTATCCTCGGTCCTCAGCCCCTAATCATCACATTGGTTTCAGCTGAACCTGATCTCCAAACACGTGACGTAGCCTTACTCAGCTACTCTCAGCTACGCCACGCGCACGTTCACTGGAAAGGCGGAATCGAAGAGGATGCCGCACATGCCGCAAACGGGAACCGGAGTTGTCTCCCCATCGCAACCCACGCCTTCTTGAGGATGGTAGTCCATGCCACAATGGACCTTCTCATCCTACCGATTCGTGGCCGAAAAGGGAAAGCGACCAAGCACTGGGCCCCTGAGCATGACTTTTCCAGCGCAAAACCAAAAAGGGGATAATGGTTTGGCCCCTTGCATGACCATTTTCCTCTAGAAGCAGGTGGTTTTCCTGCAATGTTTTTCTCAAAGACCCCTCCAGCTACTTGAAAGAACGCAATCAACACAGGACGCACACATACTTTCACATACTAGTGATACTGGAGTTTCCACTTGGTGACATTCATGTCCTTTCGAGAAGAATAGACGGATCAGTTTGGGTACCATTTAAGGGTTGTACACGACCAAAGGCCAGGGGTATCCCCTCTAATAATCAACCAACCAAGGACATAAAAAAACAAAAAAACAGTCGGTCCGGGTCTGCTTCGAGGAGTGTCCATTTGGAGTGACATCCTCGGCAAGTCAACCTGCGGCCTTCTCACAACTGTGTTCTGGAACCCTTTTCGCGGAAATCAGAACATCATGTTTGGGATGGACACGACTGGGATGCCTTCATTCCTCTACACGAATAGTAGATGTCAGGATCATTTACAAGTTTCACTTGGGCCTGTGTTCTCTCTTTACCGGTAGACTACCTCAGAAACGGGCCAGTTGCATCAACCATACCCGCGCCCTCGTTTTTTCAATCGATCGTCGACCGCGTCCTCGAAGCGTAAGAGGCGCATGTGGCCGCTTTCACCCCACTCGCGTCCCCAGGAGTTGCGGATGATCCAATATTTCCTGGACATCTGTGGCAGTGATGCGTATAAAAAAAGAACACCCCCTTTTCCGTTTGGATTGCGGACGGACACGGGGTCTGAGAATAGGAAAACCAATGAGTGTCGCAGACTCAACAGTCTTGGCAAGAAACTTTTTAGATACCTCAATGTTGCTTCATTCGATATCAAAGGCCTCCATGATGATAACCTCAAACAATATCAGCAATATAACTATATAACCTTTTCACGTGACAGCTTTTAGAGTGCGAGCTTCATTCCAAAGAACTTGCGCTTCACCATCTGGTCCCCTATAGAGCTTCCTTCTTGCTTCCTACTTCACACATGAGGTGCTGACCTGGACGGTGAACCGAAAGCTGACCTGGCAGAATGATGAGCCCTGAAAAGAGCGGACAAAAAGCCCCTGGTCCCTGCCAACCCCTCTAGGGTCACCACCGTTCCAAACCCCGCCGAACCCGCCGTGGCTGGCACCCGCGTGCTGTGGCCATAGCCCAGTGGCCCCTGCGGCGAACGGCCATAGCCCACGGCCAGCACCGCGTGGTTCACGGCAGCATTGCGGCCGCAGCCATCGAAGATACCACCGCCGTAGGTTTCCCAATTCGAGGCATCGGCCGAGACCACCACGGGACCCTGGGTGGACAAAGCATACCTCGAGCGCAGATGGGTGTTCAGATCGACGCAGTGGATGGCATGAGAAGGCACATGTCATATATCCATCTAGGACTCCAGGACCAGATTCCAGATCCCAAAATATCCAAAGCAACCCATTCGTGCACCAAGCCTGCGACAAGGAGTCAAAGATAGTCAGAGTAGATGGCACGCGACAAGGACCGTTGGAGATAGGAATTCTTTTGAAGCACCTGTACCCTTTGCACTTGAGCCATGAACTCTAGAGTCACCCATTCGTTGCACCAGAGTCACTCCACGACTCACTGTCACCCTCTCCACTCGTGGAGGTCTCCACATCCATCCATCGAACGTGGCAGCCATTTTTCATGCGTGAGACACGACAAGGTGGCAGCAGTCTCAGGACCAAAACAAGACAAACGCCACAATACCGCTGGAAAGGGCTAACATGGACGGAGTCTCCCCATGTCCAGGTACCAACTTGGCGCAGTGACGTCAATCGATCTACAAGTCGACAGTCGATGGTGCTGCATTGGAGAACGGGTGAAATCGAGCGCCAGTAATTAGGCTTCCGATAGCCATTTGGAGTCATGCTTAATTAAGCGCTGTATCCATTCAACCAACTTGCGACGGGATAGAAAAGGAAGGACAGCCCAAGCTGCTGCAAGGGGTATGCCACGTTGGGGCTCAGCCGAACAAAGCCGTCGCTCACCAAACGCCTCTGTCCTTGGTCAAGGTGTCTGCCGCGTCGGGCGGTGAAGCCAAATTACTCACAAAGCTATAGCATGTCTCCGAGTTCTTGTCATCGAATATATCGAATTATAGCAAAAAGGCTGTTGGTAAGTAAAACATGGTGGCGATGGCTCGCATTTCCATGTGAAGAGGTTGCCCAAGGGACTCTGATCACCTGTTGGATCGTGGTCAAAAAGACTCAAGGCTGCAATGCTGAACCAGTGTGGTGACTGTGGTAGAAACGATCCTATCTTGTTTGGTAAACACACCTGGGAATGGGTCAAGGACTGGAGCCCTGGTCAAGCATGTGGCTTGATCTTTGCTGCTTTGCTGATTAGCTGATTACTGAGGTAGCAAATGACAAGGTGAATTCCTATGATCCTTTCTAAATGATCAATCACTGAAGTGCTGTCTGCCTGATCAGTTGGACCATGCCATACGAACGTCGTCATTTGGCAAAGCTATGAACGTCCTGAACTAGATGATATAGATAGATCTTAACAGCGATACTGTGTGAGTGTATGTGTAGATGTCCTCTGGCATCTTCGCTTCTCGCAGCAAGAAACCATGGTTTCCGCCTTTTCCGCCTGAGGGAGGGAAGTACTATGAAGTACTATATTGTAATTGCTTTGGCTTTGGATAGGACAGTTATATAGCCTGACGAAGTTTAAAGGTCGAACCACCATCTCAGGCCTCCACCCTGACAGCAACAATGGGGCCCCAGAAGCCTTAAAACCAGAAGGAGCTTCCAGCAGCATGGGAGCACAGGGAGCCTGAAGAGCTTTTGGAGGCTTGGGACCAATCCTTGAGAGAAAGGCCATGCTCCTGGCGCGTCAACGTCAGTTTTCGCTGCTCTTCTTTCCGGCTCCGAAAAGAGCCTCCGTCTCGTTCACATGGTCGAAGACATGTTACATAATGGCCGAAGCCTTGCTGGTCTCTTTAGGTAGAAATCTACAAACAGTTGCTTCTGTCTGCGAAGGTAACGTTTCCAAAATCACTTTCATGCTGCTGTTGGCTGTTGGAGCAAGACCTGCTACCTGAGCTTCCGGGAAAACGTTTATGGTGTTACGGTCGATCTGATTAACGAACGGTGGAGGAACCCTTCTATCAACAGCGGTATCTGGATTGGTAAGACTGTTCTTCTCCATCACTACAAAGCGTACCTGGCCCTAGCCCATATCGCACTGAGCAGTGCAACATGTTGCAGGGTGGGTCAACTTGAACTAAGACATGTATGTCCAACTGAAGTATTCAAAGTAGCCAGATGGGTGAGTTCTGCATATCCTAACATGGTTGGGACTGCGGGAATTAGGAAATGGTTCAACTGAAAACCGCATGGAACAAGTATACAATCACAAAAATCCTAATGTTCACGCGCTACGCTCCCACTGCGCCTTGACGTATTGGAAGGCCAACTCAGAAGTGGCACCACCTCAGCAGAAAAGTTGGGTTGCAGTGTATGTGATCTGTACACCAAACAAAACCGCAAATCTGTGTGTAGCGTTAAAAATACATAATAAGAAACTGGGTCACAGCAGCTTACTTTCGCGCTCGAGCGCATCTTGGGTCCAAAAAATGTCCCAGGGATCTATCGAACTGAAATCTAGGTGCCATATCTCTCACTCATCTCATCACTGGGGAGTCCTGGGGAGTCTTGGCAAGTGATTGATGCCCCTTGCAAGTGAGATGATGGGCTGGATCGGCCTATCCTGGTGAGAAACATGGGCTTCATAAAAGCTTAAGTTAAGGCTTAAGGATGTGGTTTGGGATGCAATGAAAGCAACCAGTGCAATTGGATACTGCCAGATTTGGACTTGGAATATGTTTGTCTGGCTCAAGCAAACCGGATCAAACCCAGGTAGCATCGCCCTCAATAGTGCTGTGCCAACGCTTAAGTACTCTCACTTCAACATACTTTGATGATGTGATCATCAAACAGCATCTGCCCTCCAGTACAATCTAGGTGCACACATGAAAAGCCTCTCAGGCCATCACATCCCTCCAACCAGGGCACCACAGCCGCCAGAGCCACCACAGTGGTGTCGATTGGGAGTGCAGGTCACCAACTCATCCAAGGTATCACCTGAAAGCAAGCTACTAGGGGCTCCTGGCCTTACTACTAGGAGCAAGGACGCTACTAAGAACAAGGGCATCGCTACTAGTAACAAGAAGCTACTAGTGGCTCATGCTTCGCCTGGCATCGTTACAGCACGTGCTGCATGGCCACTGCAGTTGGCGCTTGGGCTGTTGTTTGCAACGGGTGACTCGTAGGTTCCGACGAGAAGGATTTAGCCTTGTTTCAGGATGTTGGTTAACAGAAAACACCAGGGTGTGTTCCTGTACCTTAATCCTCACTTTGCAGGAATCAACAATGGCGGACATGACATTGGTGCTACCTCCTCCTCTCCCAGCATCGGCATGTAGCTGGCTCGGCACTTGGCAGGGAACCCTATGGGTTGGCTCGTGGCAGCTCAAGCGGATTGCTTCGCCGAAGCTGCATGGGACGACCGGTGCACCGACAGAAAGGAGTGACCGGTCACTATATAACCGCACCGGACACCAGTGTATGCGTGTTGCTGGACCAGTGATGCCGCGGTGGCTATGATGCCGTGGGGTGGGAGCTTCATGGTCTGCTATATCTTGCTCAGCATGATTTCAGCGGTGCGAGGGCAAGCTTGTCGTGCAAGAGGTCTGCGTTTTGGTCGTCGCAGTGGTTGTGTTATCTATGTTGTGGCTGCTGTGCGCTGCTGCTGCTTGTGTCTGCGGAAATCCTGTACGAAGTGACAGTGACAGAGTCAATGTCATCCTCGAAGCTGCGGGTTTGTGCCAGGTGGATGAGTGCTCTTGTGAAGCTAGGACTGAAAACATGTTCGTCATCAAATTTGTTGTGCTGGTATGGTGTTGCACGGCGGCTTGTGACGGGCGTTGGGTTTTTGTGGTGGCGTGGGATGCATGGTGTTGCTTTATGTCATTGCTTCTAGCTTTTGCAGACATTCTGAGCAAATTAATTGGATGAGACCCAGTGGCGAAATCGACATCGCCGTCGATGTCCTCCTATATTACAATAAGTTGTACGTGTTTCTTGCTCTCTTGCGGGTGTCTTGCGGGTGTCTGCGGAAACTGCGGCACCAAACACCTGGAAAGGAAGGCTGTTGTTTGTATGTGTGTGATGAGGTGAATTGTTGAAGGGTTTGTTTGTAGTGTGTGGAAGCTTGCAAGTTCAAGTACGGTATTGTCCTGGCCAAGGTTTTTGTTTGTTTGGTCAACTATGTCGTTCGCTGCGAACTGTGAGTGCTCGTGCTGCAAGTTTACTGTTGCCCAAATTTGTGTCATGGCTGGTCATGGTCTTGTTCGGATTTGCTTCCTGTGCTTTGCTTATCTGCGGCGGCACCATGTGTAGAGTTGTTTCAGCTGTTTGCGGCTGAGGTGAAACCACGGACCACAAGGCGCGTATGATTTGGATCCACTTCGGGACGAAGCAAGGGGGGTCTTTATTGAAATATCAATGCCCCGGGGGGGGTTAGGCGTGAAATGTCAAATCCAAACGGTTTGGTGTAAACGGTGGTTGGTGTAAAACGTGTTCTGGTGTAAACGGTGGTTAGATGTGGTTAGTGTAAACCGTTGTTTGGTGTAAGCGGCTGTTGGTGTAAACCGTGGTGTGCTGTAAACGGTGGTTGGTGTAAACGGCGGTTGGTGTAAACGGTGGTTGGTGTAAGCCGTGGTCTTGTGTAAGCAGTGGTGGGTGTAAACCGTGGTTTGGTGTAAACGGTGAGCGGTTGGAGTAAACCGTGTTGTGTAAACAGTGGTTGGTGTAAACAGTGGCTTGGTGTCAGCGGCGGTGCGTGTAAAACGTGGTTTGGCGTCAACGGTGGTTGGTGTAAACCGCGCAGGGGCGCAAACGGTGGTCAGTGTACGTGGTTTGCTGTACACCCCTATGAACCAATGTACTCGTTAAACTTGTTCAGAAGAAATTCAATCACATGAACGTATTTTACGTTTAAAGATCGTGCTTTGAAGCTTGTCTGTAACCACCTCTAACCACCTTTAAATTGGTACTAGGATTGATCGTGGAGTAAAAAACATATATATACTTATAGATCTTATCGCCTAATAGCCAATATTGTTCAAGAAAACGTTAACTGGTGATACTGTGATCCACCCGTGATTCACCGTGAACAGACCCTGACTAGAGACTAGTTACATTTGATTAGAGACTAGGAAAGCTGGGTGTTTACCGTGGTTCACCTGTGAAACACTCGTGAAACACCCGTGAACTACCATGTCGGCTGCTAGGTACAGACGAGAACGGAGGAAGTGTACCAAAAGTGATCGGGTAGCGGGCGTGCAGAGTCATGCAGTGGAAGTCGTTCTTACTCGTTAAACTGGTCTGCCGGGTTCGCACTGAACGGTGGTTGGTGTAAAACGACCGTGCGCGGGCATAAACTCATAAACGGCGGTTAATCTAAAAACGTGTTTTGGTGTAAACGGTGGTTGGTGTAAAACTCTGTTTCAGATCTACATCCGAAGTGCTGTAACAGCAAATCCAGATCCGAGCAGTAGCAGTGGATGTGCTTGCGCGAATGCATGTCGGAGCCGTTGTCCGAGAATTTGTTGTGACTCAAGGTCTGCTTTGCCGATGTTCTCGCAGACTAAATGACCCGCTCCAAATAAGATCCACTTCGGGACGAAGGGGTAGGGGGTGTCTCAAGTTAATTTAGATCCGGAGGAGCCCAGTGAGCCCACACTTGCTTCGCAAGACAAACTCAAGGTATCCCCTGACAGCCACCTTTCATGACTTGCTGCGTATCTGCTGTTGCTTGGTTTGAAAGTGCTGATGCTTCTAGTGATCTAGCGCTGACGCGGTAGAGAGAACCATCATAACCAGGTAGAACAGGATGAGCTCTCCCTCGCGAGCTAAGCTCTCCGTGCTTGTTGTATTGCCCGTGCCGTACGGCCCAGCTCTCTTCAGCCGTACCGAGCTTGTTTCGACACGAACACCGAGGAAAACCTAGCTCAAAGAAAGAACCCCTGATCTACTAATTGCCGAGTCTTCGCTTTGTGGCTCACCATGAAAAACCATCTGCACCCTCCCAGACCGGTCTGCCTCCAACACGGCCCACCATCGAGGGCTCACCGCGGTGGCCCAGCTCCAGGTGCATTTCCAAGGCGTTCAACGATGAAATTGCCCAACAATCACCGCAAACGCCCTCGACCAGACGTGGCGAATATGACCCGGAAAAAGAAGGACGTGAGTGTTCACTCACCATGGGGAAGTTTTTCTTTGAGAAGGAACATGCGAACGCAAGAGATTGCAAGAATTTGCTTAAACCCAATCGACGATGTGTCAAATGCTGATGTGCTTAAGAAGAGAAGTACGTAACTGCAACGAATTATATTTTAAAATCGTTAAACCGACGAAACTCCCCGCTCCGAAATCTCGGAAACACACACTTACACACTTATTATTGATCTCCCAGGAGAATCATGTGATAGTGCATGGATTCAAACTGAAAGGAAATGAACGTGGGTTGGCACGAACATGTTGCAATCAGGATGAAAGGATGAATGCAGGTCACACAGGGTGACATAGTTCCTGTTGAGTGGCAAGCTCAATTGGCTGAGGAGGTGGGTAAAAGTGAAGACAATTCTTAGTTGTTGCACCTAACCTAGGATGCTCATTGTCAATCTCAAACTATATTAGCTATATAGTCAAAAGTGTCGATGTTGCTTCCCTTTGAGCGGAGCGAACATCGGCTCGAGGCGGTTGTCTACATGGGCTTGTGTACTCCACAATACCTGTGGACCTCCCTTGGACACCCATTGGATGATCCTGTTTCTACTCAATCCCTTTGCAGGATCCCTTCCGTTTAACAGGCCACTGCCCCACTCGACTGAACCCATCAGACGCGTCTCAAAGATCTTTCATAGGTGTTTCTTAGTCTTCACCAGACTCAAATGACCGCGGCCAAAAGATCCAAAAGCCGAACCTCCGACTCCTACGATCGAACCCCATAGACATCGACATCTGCAGACCATGGAACCATGGCTGCTCAACTAACCCCTTGGCCCCACCGAGATGGGTTCTGGATCGTGGCAGCTAGGATTAATTCTAAAAGGCCCCTATAACTCAGCCAAAGTCATTGACTCCTCACCTGCGCGAGAAACCCCGCCTGCGAGCGGACCTCATTGGACGTGCTGACCTTGGGTCGCCAATCCATCGCCTGAGGATGGGCGAGAGGATCCATGGGTTCAGGGCCCCTGAATCAGGGGTCAACATATATGTCAACATCCTCAAAAGCTTCCCAAGTATGCTAGACTTAGTGCTAGACCATCACTTTGATATTATACACAACCGTTTGCTTTAAATCTGGGCTCCAAGGCTCCAATTGATTGATTCGTTACATCCGTGTGGATACTTGCGGATATCAGTCATCAAGACTTCTGAATCAAGGGGCATTCCAACAATCAATGGATGGCATCACTGATCGCATCATATCAACCAAGGATTTAGTGGTCTAATTCATCAGCTTTGTCAGTGGAAGATAAAGAGCCATCCAAGCAGAAAAGTTGTGGTTGCGTCTGTCTTTTTGATGTGAAAGCTGCTCTTGGTACCATCCAAACCCGCTTCAACCCACACCAATAAACCACCAACAAGAATGGACAATTTTGACAAACATCGACGTTCATGTCCAACACCATCGGCCAGCCGACAGCTGCACTAGCAAACGCAGGAATCCAGGCATCTCACCAAGTTCACCAAGTCCCTATACGATCCGTGGCGAGCCGAGTTCGCGGCGTTCCTCGGGCAAGACCAGGCCCTGGGGGATGTCCCAGGCGGCCGAGGTGTTGGAGCGGTCAGCCGAGTCGGTCGTGATCTGCAGGAAATTCAAAGCCTCCAGTGGAGCATCGAGCATGGAGGGAGCTGGAGATCGACATGGGAAAAACGACTGGAAACAATATGTAAACACAAAATGGGTGGGGCGTTTCCACAACTGGTTTGAGAATGATTCTCTTGGAGTTCTTCTTTACTGGGTGATTCTTTCAGGGATATCATTTAGCGGGCAGTGGTTGGATGTCTCTTGCTTTTCATTCATGTTTGCTAAAGTCAGAATATAGGCAGTTGAAGACTAACATTGGCGACAATGGAGGACTTTAGAAGAAATATCATTCAGTTATGTATTCAGTTCATTCTCAGAGATGCCCTGAGATACTCTGTGTTTGTTCAAGCCATTTCCCTATTGAGAAATCACAGAACGCATGAGACCTGTGAGAGGTCTCGTACGCAAACATTGATCCCTGAAACGGCTTGCACAGGTGGAAGAACACCTTTTTCCCAATAAGTCATTGCTTTGGCTCCCAAAACCTTTTGGTTTTCTCGTTGACCTCCAAATTTGGAGGTGTTTTTTCTGCCAAGAGCGACCTACGTCGACCCCAACAGCCATGCCTTGGCCACGTGGGCCACTGGCGCCACGGGCTTGTAGCCCCTCATGACCTTCAGCTCATCGTCCAAGGCGTCAAACAAATGACCTGAAAGGAGGAAAATGCCGTGTTGAAAGCATGCTCATCTGAGACTCCTATTGGGAACTGTAGACCACACAAAATCATCAACAAAAAACGGGTGGTATATTGAAGATGAGGACTTCTTCTGCCCGGTGGGCCCACTCCAATTCCTTCAGAATAGCTCGCGGACGCTCGTCACGGACGCTCAAGAACCGGGTTCTCGAACCGGAGGACGACCCGTTTGGGGCTCACACTGGCTGCTGCCCACCAGCGTGCACCAGGCAAAGAGTTCTGGTACATGGCCCTGGCGTGCCTGCGCAGAAAAGGAGGCTTCAAAGCCTCGAAGCCAACGCATAGGCCGCCGGAACAGGGGCTATACCTTGTACTAGAAGAAATCAGATCACTGAATTTGATTTCTGGGTGGCCGTTGGATGGTCAGTGTGTGTGTGTGCGTGTGTCAACTCCTGTCTCTAAGGAATTTTAAATATGTGTACAAAGCAGGGGGCCATCCCTCTCACCAGTGTTGGATGGCCACCGAAGAGGCCACTGGTGAGCTCATTAGGGCAACAAAAGGAAATGGTACTCGACACACTTGTGTGTCGGTGCCTTTCCTTCTGTTGTCCCTGTTCTAGTCTAATCTACCCGGGCGGTCTAAGACTAAAGTCCCGCTCCCTAACTATTGCACCTAATTAAGAACCGCTAAGTAGTCAGTAACTATTTTTGAAACCTTCTGTTGATCGGACCCAGCAAGTCTTGCCGTTCCCTCAAGTCAAGGGCTAAGTATTCAGCAACTAGAGTGCTAGGTAGTCAGTAACTAACTTCTGGAACTTCGAAACTGATACAGCTCTTGCGAGCCCTTTTCAATTTATGTGTGTGTGTGCTTGTTTGTTTGTTTGTTTGTTTGTTTGCGTGTTTGCGTGCTTGCGTGCTTGCTTGCTTGCTTGCTTGCTTGCTTGTTTGTGTGTGACTCTTATCGCAACAAGAACACCCTATACACGAATTATGTTTAGATACTTTTAGTTATACTATGCGGAATTGACACGCCTTTGGGTAATTATCTTCTCAAGGTAAATGCCAAACAATGCAAATTATCTCACTCAACCTAGCTGACTCGGTGACGCCCTGCCACGCCCTGCCAGGAGGAACAGTTGGCCTCTGCCAGAAGGCTTCTTCGCGCTTGCTCCGGAGCTGATCGGACTCCTGCGAACGCTAAGTTGCCGAGCTAAGTCATGTTGGCAGCGTGGCTGGGCTGTTAGTTGAAGCTCATGACCGAGCCTATTCACATGTCACATCTGGCCCTCTTCCCGCCCAAGGGCCACAAGTTGTATCGGCAAAGAAACGCCAAATGGGGTCAATTTCTGGAGGGAACTGACCACCCAAACCAGTGACCATTCAAGCCCAGCTGGGCTTTTCCCGGTTGTGTTAGTCTAGTTTTGGAGTGTAGTCCAGTAGTTTGGCGTGTAGTTTTTAAGCATGTTAGCCGCATGTCAAACAAACAAACAAACAAACAAACAAAACAGCTTTGGGTGATTTTGTGTGAGCATTTCTCCGCACCCTGAGCTCTCAAACCACCCCATTCACCCAATGGAACGCCAGGACGAGCCAGTGAATGGTTCATGGCCGTCGAGCCTGCGCAATCCGCTGCGCCTATCACTTTCTGCATGTGCTTGTGATCCGGTCGGCCAAGTGCGGCATTGTCAACTATCAGGATGCATGCTTACATTCCGACTCACTAACACGGAAGTGGAAAACCACCGACCTGTTCGTTTTCGGAAAGCAGTCTAGCTTAAGGGACCATTTATTGTTTCCACTTCCATGTGATGTGTTTGTCAGAGTTGAAGTGTTTAAACAAACAGGACCGGGACCAACACAAACAGGTCTTGAAACCAATGAGTCCTTTCCCAGCTTCGATCCTGCAAACGCCTCTCCGACAGGCCAAAGTCGTGAAGATAAGCTGTGTAGTTCCTGGGATTTGTCCCAAGCGGCCGGGAAGCGGTTTTGAATCGATCGATGGATCCTTCAGAGCCTACTATATAGGTTACTTAAAGCAGGTTTAACACATTTTAAAAGGACCTGGGGATTGGGAGAGAAACCGGAGTAGAATGAGAGAATCATGCAGTATCTCATTAAATTAGGTTCCAAAGGTTTTCTAACACCCATGTGCCCGCACTCGCTCCCGCTTGCACCATATCCACAGTGCTGTTGCTTGCAACTACGAAGTCCAACGCTCTCAAATGTACAAGAACGCAAATAATTTCCAAACGAAGGTGAAGCTTGTGACATACTGGAGAGTGGACCCAAAGCTGCTTGATTCTTGGCTGGTTTCATCATTTAGCTGCTCCAAGCGTCTGCGGCAAATCCACACGATCCACACGATCCACACGGATGGCAATCGCCTCAATGGCGAGGACCCCGCAAACGCTTCAAAGTAACAAAGCCCTGGCTCCAGAATGAGGGAAACATGTTCCCAATGAAACAACAAGCTGGCAAGCCCTGACAAGCCTGGGTCCTCTGGTTTTCCTTTCAAACTGGGACAACATCTGGAAAGTTCATTCCGATCAGGCACCCCAACCGACCGTAAAAAACAAGCGACGACGGTCTGTCCTTCCGACTTTGCTCAAAAACCGTCCCTCCTGGGAAGCCAGTCACCCGCTCAGCAGTTCCCCTTCTGAAGGGATCCAGGTCAGCTTTCAAGTTCAAACCGGACGTGGAGGGATGGCCGGAGCTGAACCGCTTCGATGAGGAAGCGATGTGAGACCTTTAGGACGTCTGGAGACCGCATGGTTTGCCCAAGGTGGTCAATATTCGTGGTTGATATCCTTTATCCTCCAAGTTGAAGCGTCTGCAGGCAAATCAACTGCCTCCTAGTTGAAGATACGAAAAGAACCCCCCCTCACAGCATCCAGTCACCTGTCTATTCTCAGCTAAGGGACTGTGGGCCATGTAGTCAGCAAAGCCACCAAAAGCCTCAGTGCTGCAAAGCCAGTTTGTTTGGTTTTGATTGTTTGGCTTCGTGATTTTGAAGCAATGGCAAGCCATCAGGTGTTTTTCTCCATAGTGTTACACGCCCTTTGGAAAGCCTTACCTGTCGAGTAAAAACGAAAAGGTACTTACCTGATAAGCAAGTGCCGCCCTAGCATATTGGAGCTGGGTTTTCTTTTTGCAACCTCCCCTACGAGAGGTTGCAAGAATCACCATGCGCCTAGAAGTACAGTGTTAGCCCCTTAGCCTTGAGCCATGTTGAGAAGAATGAAGGAAAGCTAACAGCAACTTGACATGAGCCTACAGTATAGTCTATGGCCCTATGGCGAATGAGTCATGAGGCGAGCCTTGAGGCGATACCCATTCCCACCATTTATTAAGCCAATCAAATCAGCAGGTTTCCTTATGCTGGTGGCAACCCACAAACGTCAATTCCAACACCGCCTGAGACGTATCTTCTCTATATTATAATATATATATATAAAGGACTGACTAAGCCTGCAAGACATGATGTTTTACCAAATTTGATCTATGTGATTACGTACATGAATCTCTTGCTCCGCGGTCCCAGAAGCGACAAAGCCATGACGCCGGGATTCGATCGATCCAGGGCGCTTTCAGTTTGGAGCCTTGAAAGGCTTCGAATCACCGGATGAGCCCACAAACACATCCAAGTGCGCCCATTGACATGCTACTAGCGATCTTGTTTCGGCCTCAAATGGGTCTCAGCAATGGTTCCAAACAAGTGATGACTCTGAACATTCATGTGTTTTTCTTGTGCTACTAAACTCATCTGTCAGGTCCCAATGTATAAGCAACAATTCTGGAGAGGGAAATTAACATTGAAAAATGCATTGCACACAAAGTTAGATGCTGAGGGTGATGCGTTGCACTGAAACCATGTTCAAAGGTTATTGCAACGCTCCCTCCCGAGAAACATCAAGTTTTAAGGTCGCGGTGGGAGGCCTCGGTACATAAATCTTGAAGTTTGAAACGGAAACACAAACAAAACGCTGAATAATTCGGTCATTTGAAACTATGGTCGGTCAAGCAAAACACTCTACTGACTTCCTGCTGAATGAATACTGAAGCCCGAAAAGGCCTTTCCAATGGTCATCCTTTTTTGTGGCACGCAAAAAGGTGGTTTCTGAAAAACCCATTCTGGGGTCCCCCTCGCACACTGTGTCTGTTTTCCGGCAGACACCATAAGGAAGTGTCGCTGAGATCGTGAATTCCTAGTACTTGGAGGTCAAATAACACCTCTTTGTCCACCAAGTATGTGAAACTGAAAGCCCTGGCACAAGCTTCTGGCACCTACCCTCTCAGATTCTAATACGCGCAAGCCACTGAGCAAGCCATGATTGAGGAATGATACTTGGGAACACTGACAGTAGGATGGCAACACTCCTTGATGAATGGTTTTCAGGAAGCAACACAGAACCCCAAAAACACATTGGCTGCGTTCGTTGGATGGTCCCGGTGCAGATGGCCACCTGGTGGCCATGCTGAGATCTTGGTGGGTGATGTAGTCTGTTTCTACTATTGTGGTAAGCACTCGCCCCCATGGGTGCCCCGCGGAAGCCGAGGGTGGGGTACTGCGGTGGTCTGGATTTCAACATGTCAGGGGTGCCTTGCGATGTTGGCGTTTGTCGTGATATGGATTGCTATTTGTCGTGTTCTGCCGTTTGTGCTGACTGATGCTGACTGTCTGGGTCGGTTTCCATGGGCGCTCTGTCATGAAGTGTGTCCTGTTGCTGTGGCTTCAGCTGAGGCAGTCTGCTGTTGCTCCTGTGGCTGTGGTGGCTTTGTGTTATTTGCTCCGATACGCGTGATCCTTTAATGGTGGATTCCTCAGCGAGGTGCATGCGCCAGCGCCAGAGTGGGGCGAGGCGGTGTGGGGTTCCAGTGCTCCAGAGTGGTGTCGGTCTTGTCGTTGATTTTCTGGTGGTGCGCCTGTGAAATCCTAAGGCTGCAGCTGGTGTGAGGTGCGCTGATTGCGTGATGTTGTGATGTTGGTGCACTTCTGGTCTGTACACAGCTGGAAAGCCACGGGGCCTCGCAGGCCGAAAAGGGAGTGGTAGGTTTTGTCTCTGGCAGCTGTCCAGGCATGCGAGAGCGCTGTTTCTTCTTGCTTTTGTCAAGCCAGTGAACTGGCTCGCGCAGTCCTGGGTGTCAAATACACTAGCAGTGCCGGAGTGGGTGAGAAGTGTCTTTGCCATGTTAGGTGCACGGGGTTGTTTTGAAGGAGTAGTGCGCTTTGGTTGGCGTGGGTGGTGTGGGGGGAGTAGTGGTGCTGTTCTGGTGGTGGTTGTGCGTCTGCGCAAGTTCTAAGCGAAGTGAATGAGGGCTGTAGCGAAGTCGATGTCACCGTCAAAATCTTCGTCCAAGTGCTGCGTTGTGCGTTGTGCGTTTGGTGGCTGCGGAGGCCGCTGCTCTGCCATGAAAGGAGGTGTGTTGTGGATGGATCTGCGATGGGTGTGAGGCAAGGAGAGCCTGCGTGTAGTGCGCGAATGCTTGCAGGTTCAAGGATTGCCCTGGCACAAAGCTTGTCTGTTGGGCCGACTGTGTCGTTTGCCGCGAATTGTAAGTGCATAATATATTAGCTTCTTTTTTGCGAAGACTGAGCCATGGATGCTGGGTGTTTTGTTTTGAAATCGATACTTGGCATGTTTCCGTCGCCGCCAGGTGAGGAGCTGTTTCAGCTGTGGTTGCGAATTGTGAGAAAGTAATGGAAGTGGTGCTTCAGTTCGTACTCCAAGCTTAGTGGAGCCGACTATGCTACTTTCCGAGAATTCCATTCCATGCCCAAGACATGGTAGACTATCCTGGCAGTCCTAGTGGTTTTGTCTAAAGCCCACAAGTCCGCGGACTACATACACTTGGACTGTTTCTTCACTTTTCCTGGCCAACCCATTGCCAGCTTGCAAAGGTACCATAAAATTCAATGAAAGGGATAATTACCAAACATCTTTTGAAGGCGAAGGCAACCAGGTCAATCTTGAGGCTTGAAGTAACCTTGAAGCAATTGTAGCTACAACCTCTCTGCGGTGTAGGTACCTGCGCCGGGGCCGAATTTGTCAGTCTCAGAGATTCCTACGTTCGAAGCGAGGCCAGTCGCAGGTGTCGAAGAAGCACAGATCTTCCATCGCGTAGCGAGGCACCAAAGACAAACACTTCTGGTCCCCCCGTGGCAGCAAGACACGGATCCTGGCCTTACTACTAGGAGCAAGGACGCTACTATCATTCTCAACTTGGCCTGATCCACTTTGAAGCTTCTCTCGTCTCACCACGAAAGGCATTGCTAAACAGCCTGGACTTACCCTCCAGGTTCATTGGGTTCATTGGTCCATGAAAAAATGAAAACATGTGGTGAAGAAGCTACTATAGTAGCTCCTGGCCGTACTAGTAACAAGAAGCTACTAGTAGATCCTGGCATCGCTACTAGTAGCAAAAAAACTAGACGACGAGTGGCCCGAAAGCATTTTTCATCACGTAGGAAATCAGAGTGCGAGTTATCCGGTAAGTGTGTAGTGAGAAGTGTTAAGTCGAGTGAGTTGAGGTAGTGTGTGGGTTTCTGTGCGTGTGTCTATGTCCGTGTGGAAACGAGTCTGCGTATGTGTGTGTTCGTGGAAGTTGAGGGAGTGTGTGGGTGTTTGTGTGCGATGCGGCCTCCCAAACCCCCCACCGGCGGCCAAGCGGTGACAGCCCAGCTCATCGTCGTGAGCATTTGGGCTGCTGGTAAGGGGACAATGGCAGCCAGCGTGCTGGCTTACCCACTTCAACTATGATGGCAGCCAGCGTGCTGGCTTTGCCATCT